CAGCTGCGGAGGCAGACTCATAAGAGATAATCAAGCCCAGGTGCTTGTGGCTTGGCCCCTCCCAAGAGAGTATATGTGAGCACTTGGGAGGGATCCTTTTGCAGGACACAACCATTCATAACAGTCTTGAGGAATTCTTGTCTGGTCTGTTTTGTATTTACGTTCTGTTTGGTTTGGGTTGCTGCCGACCCTTTTTGCATGAGAGTGTTGTTTGGGCTTTCAACCAACAGAGTTGTAATTCCTGTGATTAAAGAGTGACAAATAGCCAAGCCTGTGTCTGCGTTACTCACAGGCCAGAGGGGGGGGGGGGGTTCAGAACAGTGAACCATATAACACATTGTTTGTTTCCTTTTGGTTAAGCAATTATTTGTTGACTAACTAGAATGATGGTTTTATAAATAATACTAATCCATAGATTATAGTTTGCAAACCATAATTTGCTGTATTCACACAATACACTAAGAAAAATATAAGTTTGTGTGCTCTGAAAAGCAAGTATGTTTCTGATTGTTAAATACACAAAGGTATGAATAGTATGGCATGACTATTTACTTGGAAATACATTGCATTAAACCTAGAGGACTTTTGCTAGCTATTCTTTAGGATTAAAAGATTAGACTATAATAGTACGTCTCAGTAATGTCTGCAGAATCTTTCTTTTTCAAAGTCAAGAGACATCATGTTGTACATAGGAAAGGGACAGACTTGAATCATGCTATCAGAACTCCTGAATTTATTGGACCAATTCTTCTTCTTTCCCCCCCTTTCCCCCAATGTGGGGCTACTGCTGGAAAGTATATTTTACTTAGAAAGTCTGATTTCCTAATTGACAATAAAGAAAAGGGGAAAATCCATGCATTTCTTCTAGTCTCACCTTGTACATGTTTTTGTCACTATAGTGAAATTCATAGGGTTAATATTGCAATTTCTAATAATTCAGACTCTAATCTAGAATCTGTGCTTGTATTGCAAGCATAATATCTGTGCTTTCAAATTTACAAAGCAAAATTAATGATTATTAAAGAACAAGCAGAAGAAATATATTTGATTGAAACCACCTTGATTAATAACCTTTGAACTACAGATAGTCTCGACTTACAACAGTTCATTTAGTGACTGTTTGAAGTTACAATGGCACTGAAAAAGGTGATTTATAACTGTTTTTACACTTATGACCATTGCAGCATCCCCATGGTTACGTGATCAAAATTCAGATGCTTGGCAACTGACTCATATTTATAATAGTTACACTGTCCCTGGAGTCATGTGATCACTTTTGTAACCTTCTGGCAAGCAAAGTCAATGAGGAAGCCAACTGTGTTACTAACTTAAAAACCACAGTGATTCACTTAACAACTGTGAGAAGAAAGGTCATAAAATGGGGCAAAACTTCATTTAACAAATGATTTACTTAGCAAAAGGAATCCTGGGCTCAATTATGGTTGTAAATCAAAGACTACCTATAATCCATTTCCCTAAAGACCAATTTTACACTATATGACAATTAACAAAGTAAAGTTTCCACATCCTTTTCCTTTTTACCAAATGAATTTTTCTTTGAAAATAAGTCTTGAAAGCCAAAAGCCAAAGATAGAAACCTTTGAGCAAATCTAGATTTAAAAACCCATTAAGCACACTGGAAATTAGTGCAGATCTTTTTACTTCTATTTCTTTTATTAAACAATATGCCTTGTTCAATTTACCTTCAGGGTCAGTTGATTCTTGGCTCTAGCTGCTTTATGTAATGCTGTCATTCCATCTTTGGCTCTAAAATCCAAATGAGCGCCTCCATTTTTCAGTGCTTTGATTACTTCTGTAGTATTGCTAAGTTGAGCAGCCAGAGTTAGTGGCGTTTCTACAGTAGACAAGAATGAAAACAAACTGTCTAGAAGTCAACTAATAAGATTTTTTATGCATTTTCATCAGTTTATGCATTTAACATTTTTCATTTTTAAATAAATACATCTCTTATTAAGAGCTTGGTTTAATTCATACCTCCACTTTCTAAGTCATGATAGTTAGGATCAAGTCCTCGGTCTAGCATCTTTATTAGTTTTTCAACTGAATGGTGATGAACAAGGTCCATAAATTTTCGGAAATTAGCCTAAAAGTATTAAATTGAAAAATATTTATTGTGGAATAAGCATTTCACTTAAGAGGGAAAAATGATATATTTTTAGATACACAATCATGCATAAATATTGACAAAATTGTCAATATTCAACATATCTTCTCACCTACTACTTATTTACCTCTGAAATATGAGTTCAGGGGAAAATTGCAAAGGAATATATTTCAAAAATTAAATTTATGCAATCCTGAATATATGTATTATTGAGATGTTGTAAATGCATAGACATGAAATGCTTTCCTGATTTATAATAGATATTAAGTTGTAAATTTCAAGTGGGGTGTATCTTAAATCTTACAAGACATTCCAGAAAGATTAGAATTATTTAACATGCAATCTAACAAATGCATGAGTTAATTACAATTGACCAAATTATAAGAAATAAAATTATTAATGACTATCAGTTATAATGGCTACGTGTTCCTTGCAGAATTAGAAGCAAGATCCTATGGTAGTTGCTAAAAAAACAAAAATTTCAATGTCTTGGAGGCCTCAACGAAGATTAGGATAATTTGCAAATAATAAACTAATCAATGCATATTGGGTTATTTATACAATATTTTATTTCCCTAATTTCCTCATTGTTATCCTCCTAAATATTTTGTTTGAATTCTAGATAATTGCTGGGTATTTGACTGCTACAGCAATATTGTATCTAATTGAGATATTCCATGGTCATAGATTAACATTCATGTCTGTACAAATGTTAGCAGGAGAGTTCATTGACATTGCACACATATAGAAAGAGGTGAGGCTTCAATCGACCGTTGTGACTACCATCTTGCCTTTTATGAGACTTTTATGAGGAACATCACCATCACACCAAAGTTGCCGTTTACATTGTCATATATCCTAATGAAAGTTTGTAACAGCAGTATTTTGTGCAATGATGTCACCATGTGCATTATTGCACTTTGCTCCATACGTTACTGTTAACATTACTTTCAACTTAAAAGATAAGGACAGTATTTTAGACAAAGCACTAGCAAAGAACCTGCCATATAGCCTTCTTGTTGTGGGTGCATCTTTTGGTTTTCAGAATTAAAATCTTATCCGTTAACTCTGAAGACCTCAAATGATTTGCTTCTCTTGCTGCCATCATCAAATTTCCTTCCTCATTTCTCTATGACTTTGAGATAACATGATCGATCAGGTGAAGCGTGGGAATAGATATAGGATGCTCAGTCACTTCTAACCCTAAACTCATTTCTATTAAATAATTTAAAATGAGTTATATTCAATATAATATTGAATTAATTTAAAAATAATGAATTAAACAATAATAATGAATTAAATTTATACGCTGTCCAATTCTGAGTGACTTTTCATTATAAACTAGTTCATTAAGTATTTCACTGTATCTATAGAATGTCAATACTTGTCTTTCCTGATGCTAAATATAGTCATATCTTTCTAATAGGTTCAAGGGTCTCCTAAAGTAAACTCCTGTGACTTCTTGTTTTCCAAATGCTCCTCTCCTCAGTTCAATCCTCTCACAGCGTTTCCCTGCTTTGATTAGCAGTTGTATCGTCCCATCATCATATGTGTCTTGCACTAGCTCTCATAGCTCCTTTCCTTTGGCAAGACTAGTTTGTATTATATATCTACATGTGATAACTTCTTATGAACGGATCTGTACTATGGATGAGATCATTGGTCTTCTATATGTTCTAGTTCTTTTATTGTGAAAACACTTTACTAATCTGGAATATAGTGCATGATCATACGTTTGGGAAGATGTGGAGGTGAGATATTGGAATTTCTTTTTTATCTGAGTTGAGTATATGAAACTTATTTCTGAAGCTTCACAGTTCTAATGAGAAAATTTCTAAAAAGTTGTATTATACTTTCCATCCATATTTTGTCTTCACAAAGTCACATTCTAACTGTTCTGTTAGAACTTCTAGATTCTTAGAACATATTAAAATACATTGTTTTATCTGTTTCTATTTAAAATAACTAGACGTCTATATTATATCATTAACATCAAAAAAAATTGTTTGAACTTGGACTTACCTTATTGTGGAATTTGGCTACTTGTTTTTCATCAAGATTTAATTGTCTATAGACTCTTTTCTTGTAGGAAAACTGAAAAGTGAACAAAATGTGAGTAATACTTATTTTTTTTAGAAATAATTTCTGGGGGAAATCTATTATGTAAGAGATGAATCAGTTTTCCAACATAAATTAAAATAATTATAAGAGATTTATAAAAAGAATCATAAAATTAAAATACCCAAGAAAACATTTAAATTTCTTTGACCTAGCCTTTGTATTAGCTGTTCTATGGAACCATGTACAGCAGCATTTTCTATGCTTACAGGTATGTACAAAGAAGACAGTTTATCTTCTTGCATTTTTCATCTGATTCTAAATTTTGGTGCATCAGTTAATAGAGGCAAAACAATAGGTTATTTCTGGAATCATAATCAGATTGTGTCTAGAGATGATCAGTTAGTACTTCAGTCCAGAGTTTCAATTTGTAATGTTTCATGTAATCACAATCTGTCAACTCATCTATTCACTAGATCAAAATTAAGCTTTCTTAACTATGTTTTTGGCTTAATATCACAGGTCCTTTGCTTTGTTTACTTCTGAACAATATTTTTACTGATTATTTGATTGAAAATGTTCCTATCTTTTCACAAATTATAAATTCCTTTGTGGAAGATTTTTGTGCTCATGAAGAAGGAAGGAAGGAAGGAAGGAAGGAAGGAAGGAAGGAAGGAAGGAAGGAAGGAAGGCTGCAGTAACATGTAGCATATTGACTGAGCTTTTTTCAGCTTCCAGAAATTGTTTGCCAAATAAGCAAAAAGTTTTAACTAAATTTGGTTTACTTTAGAAACTGAAATTTCTATACTATTCAGAAAGAAACAGAGAAGCTACAGAGGAATTACACATTAGCGTTGTTCGGTAATCACAAAGTGGAGATGAAACATTTTAAAATATATTTGCCAAAATCACATCAATTCCAGTGGAGATGAAATATTTTAAGTAATTACTGCAGGTATCACCTGGTTTGCAGGAATTATCCTGGAAACTGGAGGAAGAGTTTCTATTTAGGAAATGGTCAGATGAAGGGGGCAGGGGAAAGCCCACAACTAAATAATGAGCAGAGAAATAAACTTTAAAATGATCCACAAGAGGCTACAGCAAGAGGCTCAGAAAGGAAACACCCCCCCTAAGGGTATATAGATGATAGCAGGAGAATTTGTACTTTCATACTTGCAAGATTATCTTAATGTAGCTTTACATTAAAGTGGAATTAGTTTATCTGGTCATGTTTCCCGCCCCGCCTACCTGGTGAGGCTCACATGATCTTTCTCTCTGTACAAAATTAATTTGTGTTGCCCATTTCCATTCATTGCCCAATTTGTTTTTTCCTTTCTTTGCAGATTAATTTTTGTGATAGTTGCCAAAGGGCGCAGCATAATGAATTATGGATGATAGTTGAGTGAACAATTCTGTAACATTATTCAGGCATTTACCCTATCCTTTTAACATACCAGGAATCACTGAGGAAAAGCCCTATTATAGTTTTTGCTATAATGAACTACAGCCCCAAATTTTCTCAGTCAGTCTATAAACTTTTCCCATTGAATCCCTATTAAAATGAATATAATTGAGAAGTGGAGCGTGAGATTCAGATATTCAATTTCAAACAGATAATCCTTTAGTCTAAACATGTTTTTGTTCTATTCAGTCAAATTAACTAGATTGGATTGTTGAATATCACATTCATTTCATTCTTCCATTCCTCTTTAGACAGTGATTGCGATGTTCTTTCAGTTTCTGATTACAATCAAGAAAAACTAGCATTGATAGACAGCAAATAGCTCTATGAAAAATAATTCAAAAGTCCAATAGACTTGTGGCCAAAGAATCAAGGTCTATCAAAACATCCAAAACATCCAAATCAAACATGAAAACATAGTAAGAACTTAGAATATCTCTAAGAGCATATCTGTATAACTCACTCTAATTTCCACTTAATTATGGGAAACAATTGGTGCACTACAGTAATATTACTAACTGTAACTATGATACATCTCAGTTTTATACAAATATAATTATTCTTATTACCGTATCTTATTTAATACCATGCATTCAATGATACAATAGTAACATTTTCAGAAATATTTCTGGTATTCTTATAGATGAAGATAAAGTCACAACATTTGTACAAGTTATAATTTGAATATTATAATATAGTTATAATGCAGTGAAGCATTATCTATGTTCTGCTCTTACTTTCATAAGCAGCCATAAAAATAAAATTGGAATACATAGACTCAATAATTCAGTGTCTTAGAAGTTTTATAATACCTATGGTTATCTACAAAAATTAAATAAAGGTAGTACTTGATTTACAACTTTTTAATAACATCCCAGAATCATGATGGCCTCAGAAAGATGCTTTACAGCACACAAAGCACTTCTAGCCATTGTAAAATGTTGCACTACCACCCCTGTGGACAAATGATTGTGATTTGGGTGCTTGGCAACCAGTCTGCACTTACAACACATTGCCAAGGACCCTGCAATAATGTGACTCCCATTTACGATCTTCTCTATTGACTTCACCAGAAAGTCAATGGGGAAGCCGGAAGAGAAAGTTGTGAGACGCTGCCTGCCCACAGGACTGCCTCTTGCCTCTGAGGACTGACTGAAAGAGCTGCCTTCCAAAGGGAGATGAACTCCTTCGGTGAGATTAAATCCTGAAGATTTTAGATCCATGTTTGCATCCCATCAAAGGAATTCAATTTCATGCACAGAAGTAAGCTGAACTCTTTGAGCAGGCAACTCTTTCAGCCAGTTCCCAGAGATAAGTGGGAGCCAAAATCCAAGCAAAGAATGTACAGCAATTGCAGTAAAGTAAGGAGGACCAGGGACCTCAGACAGTGGGGGAAGCCAAAATAGGTCATATATGGGTATCTCTTTGCTCAGAGGCTGAAAATTCTGCTTGAATTTCAGCAGGGATATTGTTCAACTCCTAAGTAGAGGCTCTCAGGGTTTCCTCATCCCTGGGAGGCATCCCTTATCTGGGACTCCATCTGCTTAACAACCTACCAGGACTCCTGGGTTTAAGCAAAGCAATCATATGGGCAGTCATGTGACCTCTCACTTAACAATCATTTCACTCAATTACCAAGATTCTGGTTCTAATTGTAGTCATAAATTGAGGATACCTATATTCCCTTTGAACCAAGAGATTAATAATCACACAGCACTGTACATCATCCCTCCAAAAATTAGATTGGCCCCCATTCTAACATTCTTCCAGAAGGCCCTGAAGACATGGTTCTGCCAGCGGGCCTGGGGAACCCAGAGTAGGATGGAGCCCATTAAATGGCTGGTATGAATGTGTGTTGTCATCGGGAGGTGGTGGTGGTTATCATTTTATTTTTATTTTTTATTTTTTTTATTTTTTATTTTATTTCTTTTATATTTTTGTTTTATGTCCTGTAAGCCGCCTGGAGTCGCCACGTGCGAGTAAGTGGCAATGTAAATTTTCTAAAGAAATAAATTACTATAAGAGCATTAAACATGTAATTGTTATCACAGTGATTTCCAAATTGTAGTCTGTGAGGGAAATGGGAGGTTTTCAAATATAATTAAATAAAATTAAAATATTTTTGAGACTTATCAGAAAGAATAGATTAATGGAATGGAAATGTTAGTGGAACCTAGGACTGGAATTAGATTAAAATAGTTGTTCTGATCCTTATTTACATTTTTTATTTATTTATTATGCCTTTTAGTAAGGTTTCCACAGTGGCAAAATATTTTGCCCAAAATTCCCCAAAACTTAAACACAGCCCTTACAGGGAATATGTAGCTGCCAATCAACAAACTATAAATGGTTTCTTCGTCTGTAACCACTAGATTGTTAAAATTATATCTGCTCATTAGTATCTAAACTTGAAATAAAGTTGGTTTTTTTAATACCTCTAAGGATGGAACACCCTTGTTGATATTTTGTGGATATTCCATAAGAAGTCGTTCTTCATCCAAAAATTTCCCTTCTCTCCCATTGTTTGCTGGCTGGAATAGGCCATAATTGAGAACATCTTTCAAACTTTGATTCAATGTACAAAGAATTCGTTGTTTTGCAACCCATACAGAAGCCTCAGGATTAAATTGAATACACTTCTGTAAAGAAAAAAAGAGAACACACAGAATAATTTCTATATCTATATCAACAATTCTATACCAGATAAACAATTAATTTTATTATTTCATACACATACTACCAATATATAATTTTGGTCATCTCAACTATATGCTATTAATTCAACTAATGATAGTATATATAACTAATCAAGTATAATGGCATTATATTAACCTTTGCTGAAGAAATCTGAATTTAAATACATCACAAACCTTATTAGATAGTATAAAAGGAGTGTAGCAATTTATCTGATACAACCTTATGCATTTCCTCATAGATAAATGCAACTGAATTCAGTTGGACATGAGGAAGATGAAAATAAAATTCAAATCTACACCTCATTCAATAAACTTAATTTGAATCAAGATTTAGTTCAGAGTCAAATAAAATTCTGGATCCTTGGAAAAATGGCTTCAAATGGCAGATGTTTTTTGTGCTACTACACAAAATATATAATGGATTGAAGTTAGTTCTGTTATCCAAAGCCAAAGAGGATCCAACAATTTGGAATTTCAATGCCAAAAGAGGTCAAACTTGTCCATCCCAAATCTGTCTGATTCATATTTCTAAATAGGTATCCTAATAAAAGAGAATATTTGTAGCTCATGCTTAAAATGATGGGTCCTTGGTACTCTCTGAGCTTCCTTGTTTTTTTGCAGATATTTTGTTTCCCAAATAGTACTAGCACTGATGATGTTACCTAGTTTGGTTAATGAAACATCTGGAAAAAAACAAGCAAGCTCAGAGAGCACCAAGGACCCCTCAAATAAGTATCCCTTAAAGCTTAGTTCAGGGAATAGACTGCACAAGAATATTGGATTTTAAAAAAAAGTTATGCAAATTATTGTTCTTGCTTGAAGAACCATGACAGGAAAATTATGTAACTATTACATTCCCAGTGTGCTCACTGCTCAGCGCATGCTGAATTGTAATATACTGCTTAGAAAACATACCTTCTTTTTGAAAATTAAGTACACCTCATTGAGCAATATTTGATGTATAATAGGAAACAATTGGATATAAAACCAGAGTAGATCAAGTGAATTTGGTACTGACTAAACATATTTAAATTGGGGACCAAAGCTGTAAATGGGCAAATTACTACCAAGTAATTCTAATAGCCTGTATCAGCAAACTGCTAGCTCACAAACAGTTTTAACCAATAGGCAGGATCAAGTTAATGATTTTTTTTCACACAATACATCAAGCCAAAAACAGAATAAATACACCATGAAGTTAGTATTACAAGCAGACATATATATTATGTTCAAGGGGATGAAGGCTAACTGCATAAGTTCACAAATTTCTTTTTAGAACATTCTATGACCATGAAAAGTTAGCTAATTTACAAAGCTAAAACTGAAACATTACTAACAAAGATTTGACAAGAAAGCCCCTTAGCTTAATAATCCTAAAATTATTATTTATTTATGATCAGAACATGACAGGAGTAAACATATACCAGATGTAAACCTCTTGGGCTTCATGGTCCTGATAAACAGATTCGTATAAAATCAAATCCCTCAGGCTTGCCCCACAGAGGCTTCTCCTATCTTATCCCCCTTTCTCCTTCAGTCTAACTTCTTAGCGTCAGAGCATTTTTCAGGTGGGGAGAAGGAGTAGAATGTCTAAACTGCCAGCCAGCAGGCCAGATGAGTCATGTGCTGGTCATGCCCATGCCCAAATGGCAGTTGGAATAGTGTTCTTTTCAGGTGGGGAGGAGGAGTAGAATGTCTAAGTCCTTAGCATCAGAGCATGTTAATAATAATATAAGAAATACTAATGATCTGATGATCATTTCAAAAAATCCTTTCTTACTGAGCACCTAGAATCCAATAGGAACAGACGTGCTAAATTTCAAGTTTGTAGGTTTTACGGTTCTGGAGATTTCGTGATGATACATGAGTGGTATTTCGCTTTTATATATATAGATTTATCACTCTGAACTGCTCAAAGTGAAATAGTTCTGTAAGTTGAGCAGGGAATTCTTCTACAAGACTTTTTTTTAAATTACATAGTATTAATAAACAGTATTAATACTTTACTGAGGAAAAAAGATGTCACTTAGGATCAGTTTTTTAAGTATGCTCAAATTTTAAACATGCTTAAGCAAAAGTAAATTTCATTTTAAATAAAGAAATGTATGACTGGATCCACAGGAAGTACAAACTAAAATTCTGTCAGGAGATGGAAAAGCTTTACATAATCTTCTACCATAAAGCACAACACCAAGGGTTCAGAAAACCGACTATAAATGGTTTGTCCTTCCATCTCAAACCCTTTCAATGAGCTCTGTGTAATAAGAAAATGACAACTGAAAATCACTTTGGATTACAAAATTATTTTCATCTTGGTATATATTTTAGAGAACCCCAATTCATTTTTAAATACATAAGCTGTTCAATAAAGTATGAATGCACTTACAGGTACATATTATTTCATGTAATAGCGCTATCCAAGATAATGCTCTTAGCTACAAACTGGAAGTATTTGTTTTCTATGAAAAATAAATGTACAGGTTTGCAAGCCATGTGGAAGATAAGATTATGTCAACTAGCATTCATGGAAGATGTTCTCTAGTATCAGTGAACATGTCAATAAAGAAGGTTGAAATTATTTTGAGCATTTTATATACTAACATTCAAAGAAGTGGTTAAAAAAAAGAACTATGCAAATTGTTTGTCTCGCTTGAAGAACAACTGTGACAGGAAAATTATGTGGCTATTAAATTCCCAGTGGGCTGGCTCACTGCTCAGTGTATACTGAATTTTAATATACTTAGAAAACATACCATCTTTTTAAAGATTAAATACACTTCATTGAATGATACTTGCTGTATAACGTATAACGCTAAATCTATGCCAAAATATGGGGAAACACAGGCTCATTTGTTGGAGAAGTTTTTGATTCTGAACCTGAAATAGTATACACCTTCCTAATTAAATTGTTAGTACTTAATCTCTGCAATAAGAATGCAAAATGCAGATGAAATGAAATTAAATGCTCTTTGGCTATTTCATTTATTGTATAAGCTATCAATTGACAATATGAGAGCATAGATGGTCAGTTTTCTCATATGCTCCACTGCTTCTCTGCTAATCTGACAGCTTCTCCCAAGCACAGCTGTAGCAAGACAGCTAATCTCCAAAATGAAAGAGGTGCATACAAATGGAATGAATGCAGTCTACAATTAGAAGATATCATTTGTAGCTTAGGGTTGAACTGAGATCCTTGATGCTCTCTGAGTTTGGTTATTCAGATATTTATATCTTTATTGTTAAACTTTTATTCTTAGAGAAAACACTTTATGGGCTTTTAGAAAGATTTCCTGAAATGTTACAATCTAGGATCTAATACAAAGCTTATTTATTTGTTTGTTTGTTTGCTTGGTTGTTTACTTGAACTTTATATTGTATCAGTCTGAGATTTTTTTTTAAATGCACCCTACCTTGTTAATTACAGAATATTCTGTCTAATTCATTTTCCCATAGACTTCTGAATGGAGAACTTCATTGCCATAATTGGAGAAATTTACATTTTAAGTTTGTGTTTGCATATTATTTTTAAATAGAAAGATTGATATTAAAATGTGACCCAAATTTCTTGCACATCAGAAGTTGATAGTCATTAAAAGGAATAAACAAGAGCCCTTCCTCTCATGTCTTTCAGCAAAACATCAATTAAGTAAAAGTGGAATGGAAACAGAATGTTAAGGCACTTTTCGCCAGTTATTCTTGATTTTTCTATACAAATGAAATGAACATTTCAGTAATGAAAAATAGTGCTAAATAAATATTGGCTTATTAAATTCTTATATTTTAGTCACCATCAACTACAGAGATTATAGCTGAAACCAAGCAATAACTCAATCTATATGTGCTTTCACTCATTATTTATCCAATATTTCTAAATGTCAATAGTTGCATGGATATCCATTTTGTTGGAAGATGCATTAGCATTCTGCTTTATTTTTCTGGTGATAAAAGCACACAGTTTAATCTGTTATTCCCCAGTCAATGTGATTGGAAGCTTATACTTAACTGAATCATATTTTTCAATACTGTTTTCTGACTTTTGGTTTAAGTACCTACTATATGAACAAAACAGTAAAATATCATTGTGATCTAAAACTAATCTAACTTTTTTCCCCCTCAGGCTTTCAAGATTCTGTATAGCCTATATCAACAGAGTTCTAGTGTTTCTTATAGTCCCTATTTCCTGGCCTGGTCTACCTCAAATACATGTTGTTTTCTAAGTTCCATTTTAATTAATTACCTCTCTATAAATGTAAGATTATTTTGGAAAGCAAAAGACGGCAAAACTGATTAGGAGCTGTACTGTTACTGCCAGTTTCTGACAAGCCAATAGGGAATCCAGCAGGAGGTTGCAAATGGTGACCACGTGACATTACATCTAACAACTGTGCAGGATTTGCCCAAAGGCTGCAACTAGAACTATTGGAACTGATGTTGTAAGTTGGCATTATAACATAATTTGGTGCTTTATGATCACATTGCTTAGCGATAGAATGTCCAGTTTCAATTGCCACGCTTAACTAAGGGTTACCTATATTCATCAAAATACAATCCACATTCTCTTTAATTGCTATGCATATTTTTTTATATACCGTATTTATCGGCGTATAACACGCACCGGCGTATAACACGCA